TAGAGGATTTATATGTCTTGATACGAAACATCCTAGGCGAGATAGTGTCCTCGCCAAGATATATTCCATCTACTTTGTTAATTGAGGTCAAACCGTCTCTACCAGTTGCGTAACCACCGTTTCACCCCACCAGTCAAGGGTTAATACGTAATACCGAGGCGTCTTAATTCGCTGTAATGCGGTGCAATTACAGGAACCATCGCTCTTAAATCAGTGTCTTGTGCATTAAATTTGAAATTATAATCGCTGTGCTGTAGTGTAACGTAGGGGTGGCAACATTTATCACTGTCGGTGAATTGTAGAATCATATTCGAACGTTTGCTAAAACGTCTTTCTCTTAGTTTCCTCTTCAAACGTGGTTTATCATCTCCTCGAAGGAATTCGTCTGCCGATTGGCAAAAACAATAGTTGACGATGGGCATGCGTGGGCTTGCGCGTTCTTTTTGAAAGGATCGCGTTAATCTGTCTCTTACATCGCTTTACGCAACTAGGACGCCACTCGAATCGAGGGGAAAAATGTTAATCGATCTGCGGTTGCTTAGGCCGCATCGTAACGGGAAGTCTACATTGAGAGTGAAAAGCGATATCAGGGAGGGACGAGACGAGAGAGAGGTTCACTGGCATCCGTGCTTCTCCACTGACAGCACATTACACGGGAGAAAGGTCATCTCAACCTAATAAAAAATTATGCGCCGTACACCTCTTGAGGAACGTTATACGGTACAATGATCTTCAGCAGCGGCACAAAGCGGTGGCAAGCTAATTAAAGAAAATGAGTAAATAATTTTGAGTTGACCGAGTGATCGTGAAAACAAGCTATCAGAAAAGAAATAATATTACTTTCCTGATTAAAAGAAAACAGGGATAGCAGGTCGAATTACTTTAAAGAATCCAAAGATATAATTTCTCTTCGTTGTAAATATGTCGCAACATTATTCGAAGCGAGCGTTCATAATGACACACGAGAGCTCTGCTACGATGCATATTTGCGAACTATCGAACAACGTAACTTCCATCGGATTTCGTCGAAGTTCCAAAAATTTTGAATCTATCATTCAGTTTAACACTGTGTCACTGGAGTGTGCCGAGGCAAACAACTTTTTTATATCTCTCTATCTTTTCTTTTTCATTTTTAGCACGACACCAAACTTGTCACTGTTCAACACACAGACTCGCGCGACCAATCGTCTTGATAGTCACGCTGGCCTTCGTCTGCGACATCTCACCGGAAGATTCCGGTTTGCGGATCGATCGAATGACCTTACTCTCTCTAGTCTATCCTAGATCAGTACTCGATTTACAAGTATCGAATAAAGAAACTTCAACTCTCACAAATGTCTTCATTTTCTAACGTACATACAGGCAGATATAAATGCCGTTATCTCGCAAATTAATCTCTGTGACGCAATTAAATGGTTGCATCAAAGCAATAGCCAGGTAGAATTTCGAAATATTGGGTGGCGACGATAAAATTTTAACGAGGATATTATTCGCTTAACCCTGCTCAACTCACTGATAAATTAATATCCATCTTTCTCCACCATTCTATATATATACATATATATCTCCTTTTTAATTAATCCATCTAGTGGCAACTTTCTTACTTTTCTAACGGACGATATTCTCCGTGAATTAACACCCGTGTTGAATTCCTTGACTGTGCCTGCTCGGCTCATAGGGATCTCTCGTTGCGGCTGAATTCTCACCAAAGAGTCGGCCCGGCGAACCGATCGAACGACCTTATCCTTCTCTTTCGCCTCTTCCAGATCAGTGCTCGTTTCACAGGTGGCGGACACGATACTGCTGTTTCGTCACGTGTCGAAGAGAGCTCGTCTTACGGGTGATTAACTGGGGCGACGTCGGCTCGTGCTTACGCCTCCGCTTTGCCACGCGTGCACCAGTCACCAGGGCCGCTGCATGAGGGTAGGGGCTGTTGGTAGCATTGGGGGGAGTTGCGGGGTAGCTCGACTGATGCATGAATGAAGGTTGCAGAGGTGGTGGAGAGCCGAGAGCGGAAGAGAGTAGACCGACGTCGGCACTCCTCGATAACGGTGAATCCATGCTTTCGTCTCTATCTCTCGTGTATCGTCTCCACGTCCGTTCATCTTTGTTCATCCCCCATTTTGCTTGATATCCTCGTCCGACTTGCGGCTTTCTCACGCCGACGTCTTTGTCTATCGGTGACCCACGCGCACGTACACAGAAACGACAATTACGATGGTGCAGCCGATGAGCGAGGGTAAATTATGACGTAGTTTTGTCACCGATTCGAAAAGATGCAGTTAATTGCCTTTATTTCCGGTCGCGTGCTTGTCAAGCAGCTTGTGGATTTCCGTGTTCATTTAATCACGCTTCTGTGCGTCAATCCGGGGTTCAGTCCATTGATGGACGGATAAACAGCGCGTTAGATTGACGGCCGGAGGTGAATAATTGCAAATCGTATCGACGTAATTAGAGGTCGTTTACGCTTCGACTGATTTATAGTGTAGTTATCCATGGTGGATCCGAGAATGAAATTTAAACGAGGAAATCGATCGGGTTCCAAAGATACCTTTGAATGCAGAAGAGTCGGGTAAGATCAAAAGAATGGATTGAATGATAAAAGGGGATGGTTCTTCATGAAGATGCAGACAGTTTCCTTGGATGTAATCGTGCTATGAGAGTATTTGCGAAACGTGTGGTTTATGTGATTTTTATAGGAAATAAAGCGTCGTTCACGATAGTAGCGTATACGCAGAGCGTCACGTCGGAACAACTTAAGCGGCTTCGTATCGATTTTCTTGTTTACTGGGAATTGCTTCATTCTGTAAAATGATAAATTTTGCTCACGTTGCTCAGCCGAAGATGAGAGAAGGAAACATTGTACAAAATTCTGATTACGTCACGAGTAGGACAAACAACATTTATCCTCTATAGATTCCTTCATAAAGAATTAAATTTTTACGAAATTCTAAATAACAAATTATAACTCCTCGATGCATATTTCACGATGCATTTTGCGTTCACGCACTTTGCGTTAGACATTGACTATCATTTTGCCCCACGACCACTCCGATAGTTCAGGAATCCGAATAAGGAAGGTTAACAAACGATATTGCACAAGTTCCATTTCCATCCATCAGTTTCCACGGTCTGTTTTAATTCCTCTCTCATCGATAATTCAAAAGCGATCGTTGGTGCCAAGACGCTCGTCGCACGACTACCAGGTGAACTCAGAATATGAACGGAAGCGGGCCAAGTGAACGCCAAATGCGGAAAATAGACGCTGACAGAAGATGGAAATAAACCGACGACCATGAAGGAGGTGTCGTAAGGAAATAAGCTATCGAGAGCGTAAAATACGTCTAAGAGAGAGAGTGTCCCTTTTACGAAAAAACGAATCAAGAGCAAGAAGTAGAGAAAAGAAGAAGAAGAAGAAGGCGGATACGAAGAAAAAGAAACAGAAGAAAGGATGATCCATGTACCGGTGTTAGGTCGGGTCGGGTTGGATTAGGTCGACTTGCGTGGGGTTGGATATCCGGGTGGAGGGAGATGGGTGATCGGTAGGTGGCGTGCTGACGTCACTATAGCGGCATCATCAGCCGCGTGGGCCAATAGGGACGCTCACTCGAGCCAGGTCCATCGATCCGCCGGCTGCTGTCGTGTGTGTTTATGACGTCCAAAGGTGACGTCATCGTTAGCGCCGTTCGCCGCCGCCGTCGCTACACACGCTACGGTTTTAATATAGCGGAGGAACGCGCGCGATCCGGACTCAGTTACGCGGCGGCCGGCCACCCGTGCGAGAGCGTATCGTTTTCTTGTAAAACTTGTCCGCGCTGTTTTTCACTCTCTGTCTTTCTCTTCTCTCTATTTATTCTCTACGGTTTCTCCTTCCTTTCTCTTTCAAATTTTCACGTATAACGCGAATCGTTGTCGATTCGCGGCCATCGATCTTGTCACGGCTTCTTTTGATCCGTTTT